TTGACGAATTATTTATCGAGGTGTGCCCCGTGTCTGTCATGATTGATGGATCGATTTTGAAAATGTTATGGACAATAATTCACTCTCTCTTTGTGTGCTTACGTGTCAGTGTGTGTGTATGTGTGTGTGTTTGTATGTGTATATGTGTGCTTGTGTGCATGTATTTTTGTATGTACATATGCATGTTTGTATGTATGCCATCGAAAAATGCGTGTATGTGTACACGTTAAACGTTTTTACTGGTTTTTTTATTGCTAATAATATATTTTCAGAAAATTTTTTAAAAATTTGTATTTGAACATAAAAAAACAAACATAGTAAAAACACTAATAGATTTTTTCCAAAGTTTGTCGACAATTTTTTCTAGAAACATAATCGGAAGGGGCAGCAGAACACGAACGGGGAAGCTTTGTTTAAATTTTTGAAACAGGAAAACAGGCATAGAACAAATTTGAAAAAGTATAACAACAGTTTTTTTTTCACGATAATAACTTTAAAACTATCGAAATCTTGAAATTAACAAACAAATTACAAAAATAAATTTGCAAATAATTTTTTCAAAATAAAAAAAAAACTAGAAAAAATTTTCGCGAAATTTTGTGAGTTTCCTCATAAACTTTCATATAACCATCACGCAAATCTGTAGTCGCTTAGAAGATAAAAAAACGAAATATGTTTTGTTATGTTTTGCATGTATTTTTATGAAACCTTCATTTGGTTTTAAAAGTTAGAGTTTAAAAAAAACTGATAAGATACAAAAACTCGAAACTGTATGCAGTACATACAAATTTAAAAATTTAATTGAATTAAATTCGCTCAACAAAAATACATTCAAAAGCGCATACAAGCACATAAACAATCACATAAACAAATAAACGAACAAGCAGTTAAGCCTACAGTCATAAACGCAAACACCTAAACAAACAAACAAACAAGTTAAACTTTCAAACACAAAAAAAAACAAACAGTTAAACATACAGTTACACACACACACACACACACACACATAAACGAATAAACACACACACACACACAAACAAGCGCATACATAGATAGATAAACATAAATATAGAATAAATTCTCAGTCTGAAAACTCGTAAGAAGTGGAATAAAACTATTTGTGACGTAACTGCGAATAGGAAGGACCAAGATGTTCCTCGCTTATGTTCTTCTTCTTGTTGTTGTCGTTCTGTGTATGTGTTGGAGTATGTTGTGTGTGTGTAGGCGTGTATGTGCGCGTGTGTGGCGTGTGTATGTGTTTGTGTGTATGTATGTGTGTATGTATGTGAGTGTGTATGTGTATATGTATGTGTAGGTGGGTTTAAGAGAAAGAGAGAGAGAGAGAGAGAGAGAAAGAGAGAAAGAGTGATGATGTGATGGCAATTCGATAGATATGTCTTTCTATTCTGATTGTGTGTCTACGTGTTTCTTTGTGTGTGTTATTGCATTTGTGTAAGTGGGTTTTGCATGTATGTGTATGTTTATGTGTATTTGTATGAGTGAGTGAATGAATGAATGAATGACGTAACGAACAAATGTTTAAACGGATAAAAGAATAAATGAATGAATAAATAAGTGAATGAATGAGCGAATAAAGTAATTGTGATATTAGTAGCATTGGCAGTAAAAACTATAGTGGTATTTACAGCAACGTCAGCTCATTAGTAGTAGTTGAAGTCACAATAGTAATAGTAATGAAAGTGGCGGTAGTAGTAACAGTAGCGGCTGTGGAAAAGGTGATAGTAGTAGTCGTAACTGTCGAAACGGTTGTAGTAGTAGTTGTAACATTTAGGAATGCGGCGATGTTGTGGAAAGCGATGAACGAATTCAATCTTGCAAGCAGAGAGCAATATCTTAATACTCATCTACTCTTTCATTTTCACTTTCCCTCTCTCTTTCCCTCACACTCATTCTCCCTTTCTCTCTCTCTCTCTCGCGCTCTCTCTCTCTCTCTTGTCTTTGTATTTTTTCTTTTGCTGAACTTTTTTCTTTTTTTGTCGTCTTTTTTCCGTTCAAGTTTTTTCTTCCCGACTAATCTATTTTTTTAAATTTTTTTTCAATCTTTTTCTTTTTTAATTTTTCATTTTTTAAACAAATATTTAAAACTATTTTTTGTGTTTCATCTCTTGCTTTTATTTTCTGTCCAGAATGTTTATCAAATATAAAAATAAAATTACAAAAAGAAAATACAAACGCATACAAAAGCGTACGTACATACAGAGATATACAAAAACACAAAAAACAGAAGAAAAACATACTTAAAAATATACAAAAACATACAAAAATGTATATACGGAAATACGCAAAAACGTGGAAAAACGCAGAGAAACATACAAAAAAATACAACAAGTGCGTGCCGGCACGCGTCCTATGTTTGTATACACAATTGCCTGATGTACGAATGCATTGATCAAGATGTCTGTATGTATGTCTTTTTGTATATTTGTCTCCTTGTATGTTTGTCTCCTTGTAAGTTTGTTTCTTTATATGTTGGTCTGTTAGTATGTTTGACTCTTTGCATGTTTGACTCTTTGCATGTTTGTCTCTTTTCATGTTTGTCTGTTTTTGACATCTTCTATTTTTATTTTGTATCGAAAAATTGTTTTTTCTGCCTTTTTAAATATGTAGTATTATGTAATAAACATGTAGCCAATTAATATACAATACAAACGCTTAACAAATTTAATTACATAATTATACAATACAAATAAACATACAACATTTTTACATAAACGTATTCAATAAAAATGCATACAATTTTAATAAATACCTACACAATACAAAAACACATACACAATTTAGTACATGAATATATAATATCGGAGCATACAATTTTTGAATAAAAACGTACAATACAAAAACATGTTGTACAATTTGTACATCGTATACAAATTTGTTTCTAATAAAGAGTTTAACCTGTTAAACAGATGAGCTTAGAAAGCTATAAAGTTGGATGCCCGCTATTTAATTAATTCCTCGTTACTTGTTCTAAAACATTAATGCTTCTTTATTACTATATATACCATTATCACACCACACACACACACACCACACACACACACACACACACACACACACACACATACACACACACACGTACATACATGCAATACAAAAATTTGACAGAAAAACCACATAAATCATTGGTTAACGTTTGAAAACATATGAACATATGCAAATATGCGCGGACAGTATTCTCACGTATGCATGCCTATACAAATATGTACTGAGGTTGATGTCGTGGTATTAATGTATACAATTTCCCACACACACACACACACATACACATACACACACACACACAAATGTGTCTATACACAGGGCTGTACTGTACAAGAGCAAGTTTAGTGCCACCACTTAGGAGATTATTTTATTATTAACCGAGTAAATTAGTAATTAACCCTAACCCAAACTGTAAATTCAATTTTGGGCAATTTTGTAGATTTTTATACAATTTATACAATAACAGGTACAAATTGCATTTATGTTTGTTGATGTATTGTATGGGTGTTTGTATATGTTTGTATGTCACAAGTTTGTATACAGATGTTTGTTTGTGTAATTTTATGTGTGTTTGTTTGCATTGATAGGATTTTTATAATGTTGTTTATGAATATGTTGCTGAGCACCTTTCGAGTTAATGGTGGACTGTTATTTGATTTGCTGTCTGAGAAGATTGTATGTTTTTTTGTATGTTTGTTTGTAAGTATGTTGTTTATATGTTGTTAGTATGTTGATTGTATATTGTTTGTATGTTGTTTGTATATCTTTTGTACGTTATTTGCATGTCTTTTGTCTGTTTTTTATGTTATTTGTTGGATTTTTTGTATACTGTATAAAAAATTTGCTCACAAGCAGTTTGGAATAGTCTGTAAATTAATTTTTCATTTACCGTAGTAAAAACTTTTACATCAGCTTGTTTTTTAATGCTCTTTCAGTGTAAGTATTTTGTATTGTATTATTGTGTTGTGTTTGTATTGTGTGTGTATGTTGGTTTGTGTGTGTATGTGTGTTTATGTGTGTGTGTATGTGTGTATAGACTCTTGAAGAATATTTTTTTTCATCATTCATCCCATCAAATTGTTGCACGCAAGAACGTCAGCGAAAGATGATGTTCATGATAATGATGATATTTATGAAGATGATGACGATGGCGATGACGATGATGGAAATGATGATAATGATGATAACCATGATGATGATGATGATGATGACGTCAGAAGAGAAGAACCCGTGTGAATGATTGACAAAGATTTTAATGAAAGTGGTAAAAAATGGAAGAATGAAAATGAATAAAAAGCAGATACATACATACATACATACATACATACATACATACATACATACATACATACATACATACATACATACATACATACATACATACATACATACAACATACATACATACATACATACAGACATACACGCTATCAGGCGATTCGTCAATAATATGAAGGAAGATGAAGGCTTTCTAAAACTTGATTTTTCAAATGCTTTCGATTCGATTCGTCGTGACCATATGCTTCAATGCGTCAAATCTCGACTCCCAGAAATTTTCAATTTTTGCTGGTTGGCGTACGATGCTGATTCATTCCTGTCACTTGGTAACAGCATCATTTTTTCATCAGAAGGTGTGCAGCAAGGGGATCCTTTGGGACCGTTGCTCTTTTCGCTGTCGATCGACCCACTGGTAAAGGCATTTCGATCTAAATTTGTTGTCGCATACTTGGACGATATTGCGTTGGGGGGATGTGTAAAGGACCTAATGGATGATGTGGAATTGATCAACAGTAATGGTCGTGAATATATGGTCTCAAGTTGAATTTAAAAAAATGCGAAATCACTACAAATTCAACAGCTTTATCTCTCGCCCAATCAAATATTAAAAGAATTGAGATGAATGACCTAGAATTTTTGGGTTCGATAGTTTGTAGAGGAAAACGCCATGATAATTTTTGGGCTAAAAAGCTGGAGGATTTTAAACATATTATGTCAATGATGACGGAGATTGGCAAGCATGACGCCCTTGTCCTGTTGACGCAGGCAGCATTCATTCCAAGGCTGTCATACTTTTTACGTACATCTCTTGGCCCGTCTCAACAAAAGTCAGATGAATTCAACAACGAACTACGCATGGGTTTTCAGAAGATATTTAATGTGTTTTTTGATGATAAAGGTTGGAAGCAGGCTATATTGCCGGTAAATATGGGTGGACTGGGTTTGGGTGTCGTGGCCGAGTTGGCACCGTCAGCATTTTTGTCATCGGCCGCGGCCACGGCAGCCCTCCAGGATAAAATATTACCAATGGATGTAGCATACCAGGATGATTTGAGACTTGAAACATTTCGGCGTTGGTGCACGGTTTACGGAGATATAATGGACATAAATGTGTGTTCGCAGAAGAAATCGAATGAACCATCTTTGAATGTTTCAAAATCGAAACTGGAGAAATTAAATGACTCTCCCTCAGATAAGGCCAGGTTGATGGCCGTCAGAAGTGAATTGGGGTCTGCTTGGCTAAGGGCCATTCCCAGTACAGCTTGTGGTATAAGGCTCGACAATGGTTCTATTAGAGTGAGTTTATGCTTGAGACTTGGGTTGCCGGTGGTGTCAGGTTACAGATGCTTGTGTGGGGCGGATGTTTCTCAGTTGGGTCACCATGGTTTATCGTGTAGGCTTAGTTCAGGAAGACAAGCAAGACACTCTGCCATGAATGATTATATATGCAAATTATTCCAGAAAGCAGATATACCCGCCGTTAAGGAACCAGCAGGCCTACTATCTGAAAGCAACTTCAGGCCAGATGGTTACACCCTGGTACCGTGGTCCCAAGGTTGTTGTTTATCATGGGATGTGACGTTCCCTCACACGTTAGCCGAAAGGTACATCAATTACACGGCTATGGAGCAAGGTTCCGCCGCGGTGAAGGCTGCTGATTTCAAAAATACTAAGTATAAAGATTTAAACGACAATACGAGAGTTTTTGTTCCGATCTGTGTGGAGATATTTGGCCCAGTGGATAAACAGACACAATTATTTTTTGATAACATTGCTACTAAAATAGTTGAAAAATCTGGTGATCCCAATGATAAAATTTATATAAAGCAAAATATATCGTTGTTGTTACAAAAGTTTAATTCATTTTGTATTTTAGAGAACATTGCTAAGTGCCCTTCTGTGCGAGACCCTGAATATTGTCTGTTGAGCAGGGGCGAAATGATAGTTTTTATGGCTGTTGTTTTTAACCAAGGGCTCGCACATAC